AATACAAATTAGAATTTATTTCAACTTGAGTGAATACAAGTAAATAATGTAAATTATAAAGAACTTATCATTGAATTCACTTCAAATGTGATGTTCGGCGATAAGAAATCTGTTGCTGCACTTTTAAAAACAGACATCTCTGAACTGAACTTAACTGAAAAATCCGGAATATATTGAACATGATATTTATAATTATAAAAAAAGCATCAAACGAATTGCAAAATTTCAAAATAACAAACATTTTTTAGGTACTTAAAACCGCATAAATTACACAGCTCCACAAGAAAAATAAAAGTCTTGTGCAAATTACCAGAATATATTATTCCTATGTATTTTGAGCCGCTGAATTCGAATCCGATGTCAGAATTGCCTCCGCAAATCACTAGAATTTTCTAACATAAAAAAATGCTTTAAAACCCCACAAAATCGACAAAACAGCATTTAAAATCCAGGTATCATTTATCAGCGGCTGAAAGTAGTGATGAAAACTTTATATTCCCGCTGAACACGGATCCGAAGTCAGATTTGGCCCATAAGGCCTCAAATCCTTCCTAACCTTAAAAAAGGCTTAACAGGCTTCTATGATCTAGGTATGATTTAACTGTGACTGAAAATCGTGGTCTAACTTATATATTCCCGTTTATTTTGACCCACTGAATTCGAATCCGATGTCAGAATTGTCCCAGTAAATCACCAGAATTTTCTAACCTGAAAAGATTGTTTTTAAAATAGCTAATATTCTCGAATTTTAGAATGATACGGATTACACAGACACAAAAAAAGAAAAGTGGTCTATTCGAAAGACTAAATCTATGGTTACTTATGTATTTTGACGCGCTGAATCCGAATCCAGATCCAGAATTGCTCCATCACTCAGTTTTTTTTAAATCGCGATGACCCGCCCTTAAATACAGAAAATATGGAAAATTTATTTTTCAGAACTGGAGGCAGTCCAACTTCATCTTTCACCCCTGTCTCTTATGTCTATAGGATTATAGACAGAAAGAATCATAAATAGAAAGTATGGACAAAAAGAACACGATTTCCATCCAGTAAATCAACAGCAAATATTCTGCTTCTACCACCTTATATCACCTTGGTCTCATAAAAGAGTTCGTTAAAACTTTGGACAAAGATGGCGACTATTTCCGGAAATATCAGATGCTTAACTAAAAGAAGGTATCCTCAAATCCGTACCGTGTTAAGAGACGAAAAATTTATCACAAAAATTATTGACGCTAAAAGAGGAGCTGGCGAATGATGGGACAATTCTAGATTTAGATTCAGCGCGTCAAAATACATAAGGAATCATAGATCAAGTCTTTGGAATAGACCACTTTTCTTTTTTGTGGGTCTATGTCCATTCTAAAATTCGCGAATATTATCGATTTTAAGCCATATTTAGAATATTCTGTTGATTTGCTGGGGCAATTCTAACATCGGATTCGGGTTTAGCGAGTCAAAATATAAAATACGGGAAATGTCCCCTTAACGAGATACAGGGCGTCAAAATTTCTGTAAAATTAAACATTGTCTGCAATAATTCCAAAATGCCTGAACATTTCTATTTCAAATTTGCTATGCGTAGTTAGCACCTTAAGACCAATGTTTGATGTACTGCTCAAAATTTTATGAGCAGCAGTGTCGTAGAGACGGGGTCAATGTGACCCTTTTTTAAAAATATTTTCTAGACCACTGCTAATTTTGTCAAATGCGCACTAGTTTCGTGTAAAGTGTTCAATTGTCTATCGAATTGGTCTCTTGCAAAATTTTGATTAAAGCTACAGTTTTTGAGTAATTTAGATTTCTTTCAAAAATCCCGGTCATATTACGAATTGTTTGAAAGGCTTGTTGAATTCGTTTTCATAATTCATCACTCGAATTTACTGGAATTGCGTAAATCAGCTCCTTAACATGACTACAAGTGAGGAAATCCAGATGATTTAAGTCCGGTGAACGGGCGGGCCACTGGATTGGACGACCACGTCCAATCCACCGTCTAGGGTATGTCATATTTAAATAATCTCTTACTTGTCGAGCGAAATGTGCCGGAGCGTCGTCATGATGGAACCACATCCAGTAGTGCTTCATCTAACAAGCTGTTCAAATCATTCATTAAAAAATTAAAGTAAGACAAGTCTATTTGGTAGCCAATTTTTCAAGTGATTTTTAATGATACTTTAATTATTATTAAAGTTTAAATAATTTACTTACCTACTAATCAAATTATACTTTGATTTACCGCATCCGGCAATTTCGTTTTAAAATACAATTTAATTTAATATCATGGTTAAATAAAAAAATAAATAAGGATCTAATTTCTAGAAACGAATAACGCAGTCACACAAAAAAAATTGTCTGTACTTTTCATACTACATATGTTATCCGTAGTATTTTTGCCTCCTGATCACGAATCCGGTGCCAGAATTGAGCTATCACATCACAGGAATTTCCTAACCTCAAAAAACAGGTCAAAAATAGCAAAAATTCACGAAAAAGTGCTAGGCAAAATAGAAAAAAAAAAGTTTCTATATTCAAATGTTTATTTATATGATTAAGACGCCGAACGTGAATCCGCGGTTAAAACTGATGGTTCTCAAAAGGTCAATTTAGGTCAGATATCACGAATTTTAAAAAAATAACAGATTCGCGCCAAATTTGGTATACAGGGGTTTTCGGGGTCGCTGAACACGGCTGAAGAAAATTTCTTCAAATTTCAGGCCTCGATAGAAAACAAAAAAGATGTAGGTACAATACCTATTATATGAATGTCTCTGCATTCAGGGTATTTCAGGATTAATTGACCAAACTTAAAGAATTCAAGAGATCAAAATAAGGAAAAATCTTATGAAGGGCCACATATGAGCATCAGAAATTTTAGTATTTTCAGTATGAAGTGGTCAATAAAAACCCTACGAAGGAATGTTCGGAAACGTTTGGGTTTCGAAATATAAAAAGTTGAAGTTTGAAAAAACTCTCATTTAAAATATTTCTTCTCTTTAATAAGACTGTCTTATTAAAGCTAAAAGATATGCTGAAACGAATATAAATACATCAACCAGTGACTAAAAATACGATTTTGAATACAGTGTATACAATCCGAAAAAAATAATCGACGTACCTACTACCTTTATCAAAATACGACATTGCTACACCCATGAATTTTCAGGCTATTCATGGCTACCTTGTATCTAAATTTGTTATATCTAGAAAAAATATACATATTATGAAATTTTTATAAAATTAATAGTTCCAGAGTTATTTTGGGTTTATTGAAATGCTTGGAAAGGGTAATGTAGCTAAAAAAAATTAAAAACTGGCCAGTTTTTCGAATAAAACGGAAGAAACCTTTTTTATAGAAAGAGCGCTAGAAGTTGTAAGTAACAATCGAATTTCAAAAGTATTCAGTAGCATCGAACTTTTGAGAGTTTAGTAAAGGCAGAATGACTATCCCTGTCACTGTTTGGCATTTTTATATATTATTCAAAGGAATGTTGCATTAGATAAATCTTTTGTTCAAATTTTGTCACCTATGTCAAACTTTTCAGAGAAATCGATATTATAAAATATGATTTCTTTTCAAATTTCAATAAACCTTATTTAGAAAACGAAGTGTTTCTGAAAATTTCCTGGTAGAAAGTTCTTTCTTATTTGTACTATCTAGGTTTTAAGTATAGCCAATTTATCTTGAAACACCCAGTAAAGATAAATAAGTTTTATATCACTGTTAAAATCCATTAACTTTTAATTCCAATGCCACTGTTTAGTTGTAGGTAATTACTATTATTTTTTAAGAATGTTTATTTGAATACTTTTAGATTAACTACCGTATTAACGATTCTTAGCTATAAGTTGAGGTATTAGCTTTTGGTTTGGTAATAAGTTGAGATTTAACAGTCTGATAAATTTTCAACAGACACTAAAATTTGAAAGAAACAAACTTAGTAATAGGCAAATAATGTTCTTATCGTTACTGAATTCGTAAACAAAATTTTGAAACACTCACAAACCAAGAAATTAGCAAAGTTAACTCTCTGTTAACGGTTAACGGTGAATACGATAGTATTTCATATCTAGTATATGAAGAATAATAAAGTATTTGGAGATTATTTTGTGTGTGTATGATCATCTCATTTTTCAATTCATCTGTGTGCGACCATACGAAGGAGTGTATAACGAAAGCGATAAAATGTAATGACTTATATACCTATACTTCCATTAAAAATTATCAAGCATTTCGCTATGCTACCTTTCGCTACTTGTTTCAATATATTGACAGAATATTGTAGTTGATTACGCTATTATCATTACATCTGGATAAAAAAACCTCATAAATTATCTCCATCATATTTTACTCAATTTTAAAAAGAGGAATAATAGCATTACTGGCTTCTACGAACTAGTAGGTACCAACTATAAATTTTTACCGAATTTAACGTGTAATGTGATTAATAACTCGATTTTTGCGAAATATTTGCCAGAAAATAAGAAAAATTGTTACTACACAACAGATTTTAAACATCGAGCATAATTTACCCTTTCAATGATTCTAAGAATAGATATTCATTTAGACAAGAGTCTGTGCCCACTATACTAGACTATGCTATGCCTAATAGACCTGTAGATTAAGGCTCATCTTTAATTTTGTTTTAATAGTGTAAAAGATGGCGGAATTAGAACTATTTCTGTAATACATTAAATGGACTGTTACATTGAAGAATTATTGCCAATATGTTTAAAATTATTTACTACCTTGTGTTCAAAGTGTAGAAATACCGAAACGATTTGTTTTTACTTACCTTTAGAAACCACATAAATATTTCATAAAAAACAATATTATTATTATTTTATTACGTACCTATGTAGATATTTTAAAAGTTATCCTGAAGAACAGTAAAATATGCAACATACATAGAAGAACGAAATAATTTCTCTATAAACATATGTTACAACATTATTGAATGCATACAAACCATACAATAAAATGTCATTGGTTTTACCTGTTGCAATTACGCTCGTAGAAGGACACACAATCAAAATCAGTTTCTTGTATTCACGGTACATACAGTCACAACGCGAATGGGAAAACGTAATGCTTAACCTATGTTTTATAGAATGTTACGTAGTGACAACACCTTATTGAGAGGTAGAATTGTAATACAGTTAATAATTTATTAATTATTATAGTGGATATGATACCATTACTACCTCGGAAATCGTCAGAGATAAAATTTAGATTGGTCCAAAGTTGCGTAATTTAGTGAACGATAATTTCCGGTGAGAAATGGAAAACAGTTTGACAAATGTTTTTATAATGCCATTAATTTTATAGTTTTAATGATGTATTTGATAAGCCACACAAAAGTAGAATACACTTTGTTATGACCATTTTTGTTTCTCTATTCGAATATGGAATCGTAAGATTGCAATATGCTATACAGGGTAGCCACTTTTAAGGTTAGTAGTAAGGTAGTACTCCTGAACTAGAAGATAATATACAAACCAAACGTTTTCATAACCAACTTTTAATCTTATGGACGCCATATTAGATGTAAATTTCGAGTTCAACGATGTATTATAATACCTGGGTGAAGAGATTTTATTATAGGTAAAAAAAAATGTTCAAATTCAAAATATAAAAATTCAATTTTATCGTAGTAACAAACAAAATTTTGGCATTTCTGTTTAAAAGTAAACAAACTATTATTTACTGCTGTAAATAAGTACCCAAGTGCCTTTATTATTTACTCATAATGACACAATATTCGATAAGTGAAAACTGAAAAGCTATAAACTTTTACATTTTATTATGAAAAATTAACAATAAATTAATATTTAATAGAGAGAAATAAATACAGGCTGTTACGAATTCGCTTCTCACTACAGGGATCTCGGAAACGGTAAGAGATACGAAGTAACTTAAATGGGGGCAATGTTGCATAATCAAAGGAGCAACATTGTGCCTCTAAGAAAGCAAGGCTAACATGATTAGTTTTCGAAATATTTGAAAATAATCGAAATATTGGAAATCCGTTTTTGTTTCATTTCAGCCTTGTTTGAGTGATATTGAAAAAAGAAGAACACTTTCTCATGGCAACTTTTTGCCCTCTATCGAATGGCATAATCAATTTTTATATGTGACGTTTCGTCTCTCCAGGACCATCAACTTAATTTTTTTTAATACGACTCTGGAAATTTTATTACATTTTTTGCAAGCCTTCATGACCCCTAATACTGTACTGCCTCGGACCGAATCAGATTCAGACGTTTTGTCTCCAAAAATTAATCTTCATGTATTCGTTCCAAATTTATCTATTTTTTTAATTTCTATGTTTATTGAATTATCGTACACTCTAAGTGTCGTTAGACCTGTGTAATCCACCTAGTTATTTAAACTATTACCACCACACGTTACAATAAGACATTATTAGAGTTATAATTCCGTGCTCATAGTTATTTCTAGGTTTCTCGAGTGCTCAAAATTCAGACACATTTCGATCTAACTTTTTTTCAGGATATTCATACAGATACATCTGACATACATCTCTTTCACAGTTGCGGTTACAGGTAGAGTAAATTCCGATCAGGTTATGATTATCTTCGTTTTCAACATTTGCAAAAAACAGAAACGTTTTTGAACATTTACTGTAATTTTTCAAAGTATAATATTCATTTGGAGTTTTGGTTGTTCATATGCATTTTTAAGAATTAATTTGTCATAATAAAATTGAAATTGTAATAATGTTTTGATGTTTTTAATGTAACTTATTGAATTATGTATGACCAGGTGATGGAAATTAAAACTCTAATAATGTTCGAGGTCAAAATCATTTCGTAGAAAGTTAAAACATATTCACCAGTTAAAAGTTGTCGATTAATGTAAGGACCTAGTAACTGGTCGTGGAAAAGGCCACACCAAATATTTACACAAAACCGAATTTGTGGCCTTAATTACCATGTTAAACGTGGGTTTTCATGGTATAAAAGTGTTTGGTTTCTTTGTTAAACATTCCACTATTTGCAAATATTGTTTCATTAGTCGATAATATTTTAACAGGGCCAAATGGATCTGTCCTCAATTCATCACGAAATTTCAGTCTTCGTTGGCTGTCTTCAGGTTGCAATGTTTGCACTGATTTAAATTTTAAATCGCCATTCTTATGTTTTTTTAATTTTTTTTAACGCCTGACTTAGAAAAATTACATTCTAATACCACCTGCCTTTGAGATATTTCTGGACTTATGTTAATTTATGCCAAGACGTTAATTTTACTTGCGGTTCCACTACTAACACGATTTTTTACGTTTTTTAAAGTACCATATTCTTGTAATCGCCTGTATCAACGTTGAAAAACATTCCTATTTGGTTTCCTACACTCGGAATGCATCTCTTCATAACGTTGTGATTGAATTTCTGTCACATTGCATGTAAACATTGTGCATATAAATCTTTTCATTCATTAAGTATTGTGTCATTACAAAGAAATAATGAAAATACTTGAGCACTTATGTAGTTTACGCAGCTACTGAAGAAATCTGGCAACATCGGAAAGCATTATTTTTTCTTAGTCAAGTTATTTCTTACAACTTTACATTTTGGAAGTACTAGTCTATCGCTTCAAATAAAAGAGTTGGCCTATGTCAGGTTTTAAAAAAATTACACTGTATTTGTCTTATGTGTATGTGTATGAGAGCTCAGCTACTTTTATTTTAATTATTTACTTTGCAAATTTTGTTAGAATTTTCTCAATCGCGGGTATTATTAAATTGGAGCAACACTGCCTAATTCAGTATGTATTAATTTCTAGAAGAAGAATCGAAAATATCTTTTCAGTTTTTAAGATTGTCTGGAAAATGTACAATTTTCAAATTTCGATTTTATCGTTTTCTAGGTTTATTTGGAAAGTTACACGAAAATAGAAAAACACTTTTCTTACTAATCTATTAGAAACTGAAGACTTTTATTCCAAGGTTTCTTCTTCTTCATATTCTTCGTCTGTCATCAATATGTTTTTATTTGATAATAAACATATTACATAGTTGAGTAAATTTAAATAAGTGTATCTGACAGTATTATGTCACAAAATAAGTGTGTAAGAATTTGTCTATATCAATTACAATTTTGTAACTATCAAATGTTCAAAAAATGTCATTTATTACCCACACAGCACCGCGACATTCGTAGGATGTACTGGGGGATATCCAAATGGGGCAGCCTGAACTTTGCTCTTGACGTCCTGAAGACATACGCTATATACAGGACATTGTCAGGTTATCAGTGGATCAAATGAGGACAGCCTAATCGTTACTGTTGATATCCTCAGTTGGGTTATGTACAATACATTCTTAGTACTTATGGGGCTAATAAAAAAATTACAGAGTGGTATTAAATATTTTTATAGATCAAATATGTAATTTCCAAAACAATTACTTGCCATTTCCACTCAATCTAATATGTTTTATTCAAAAAAAATTTTATTCAAAAAAAAGTATTGATGTACAAAAAATAAAAAGGGAAATCTGATCATTTAACTATTCGTTTATAATATGTAATACGAGATTTGATTTCTTTGAATACCACTGGAATAAAAATTAACAATACAATATTTTGAATCTGTTCATTAGATTCGTCATAAATACGTGAAGGGTATTTCTTAAATTCTCTTTTAATGAGATTTAAAGGCATTTTAACATTTTTCTGCAAGAAATATCCCATCGTTGATACCATGTCTGCATTTTATAAACATTTTACTCACCCACTTTACTAAGATCTGACGACAAAATTCTGTAACATAGCCATTGGCAGATATTTTTCTGTTTAAAACTACAAGTTTTCAGAAACATATTCAAATTATTTAGATATTATACACAGCAATGGTTCATATTATTCATAAAACTGATTTGAGGCATTTTTTAAACTGGAACAAATAAGACCTAAAGACTTCATGAGAATAAAATATAAACTTTAACAGCACTTAGTTTTAAACTGAGTTCTTGAATAAAAAAATAAAATTAAACTGTATTTTTTATTCATTGCACATTATAAATATAAACTTAAAATGCAAATTTCACATATAGGTATACATATATGCAACTCTTTCTATGTCACATATAAACAACTTTTTTGTTACAGAATATAAACAAAGTTATATACATCATTAAGTATATAACTATTCCTACATAATAATACATAACTATTCCTTATGTGCTGTTGATCTGGTCTCTTATTGTAGTCTCTCATTTGCATGCCGCAGCATATTTTAATGCTCTCCTCATTATCTTTTTCTGGGCAATTTTTTGTGTAATGTCCTTGTGAAATTCCAGCTGCAAATTTGTTGAAAAAGTATGTTAATAATACATTTACATTATAGACAAGCGACAAAACAAAAGTTTTCAATAAATACATTTAACAAGACTATTCTAATTTCATGAATATATGTATTATAATCTGTTTATATCAAACTTAAGCTATTCTAATAGATAATACGTAATTCTGCCTATGATTTATAATGTAATCCTTATAACCCACAATGTACAAATATTACAGACAGAGAACTAAAATAATATAATAAATTAATTAAACTTATGGATTACAATCCTTTCTCAGAACTAAAAATTATAAAATTGAAAATATGTAGATTTGGTGATACCACTTGCACTTATTACAAATGATGATAAAAACTATACTAATTTTTGAATGGTATTAGACTCTATATAAAAAATATTTGGAAACAATTTTATATTTATTACCACGTTCTTTAATGCGTTCTTTAGGCATTATATAATTGCATGAAAAGAACAAAATTAGTTAATACTATACTTATAATACAGGGTGATTCAGAACTTATCCAAAGAAAAATTCTAGATGTAGAGGGGACCCTTATAAATACAGTTTTGTAAAGAAAAAATCAAAAAGGGCAGTTCGAAAATGATTTAAAAATACACTTCTGCACGGCACTGGAAACTGGTCCACTGTAAAACCTGACCTCGCACAATGCGACCGGCATGGCGGTGTGATAAAAACGGACACAAACTTTCGCAAGGAAAGAAATATGTAAATATAATTTTATCGTACCTATTTTATATCGGCAAATTCAA